CCAAGAGTTGGCGGTGGGTGGTGATGACTAGCTGCCTTCCCTCTAGTTCTACACTGCTAAATTAGGGACGGCTAGCTTTGCTCGAAATGCAAAAACAAACTGTTAATAAAAATTTACTAATCTTATGCAGTATTTGTACTTTGTAACCAGGGGTCCATAAAAGTGTAAGTATTATAAAAGTACTGTCTCTGTAATTAGTTCTCGTGCAAACAAATATTTATCGTTAAAAATATCTATACTGCCTACCAGCAGGTTTATTCTATTTGGGGAAAAAATTCCATAATAGAAAATATGTCCCAGGAAGCACTTCACAAACAAGCGCGCTGAACAATTGATCTTGCTTATGTCTTCAAAACTTTTAATAACAATAAAATATTTTCGTTTTAAGTTTACTTACTGGTTAAGTATATTTTATTATAAGTTACAGCTTTTAGAGTAAGTAAGATTGTTTTTAGAACAGTTACGACGTTTTGATCACTAGTGCGATCATTCTTAAGTACACAAGTTTTAACGTCAAAGAACGTTTTAATATTTAAATCAACATTCAACAATCTAACAATGTATTTAAATTCTAGAATTGACAGTCATTACTTATGCATGTACAAATCAATCCTCGTGAATGGACAGATTAGTTATTTATGGGTAAACAGAAACAAATATATCATACATTATATGTACCACAGCAAATATCGATAAAGAAGTTGCGCACTAAACTCAATGTTTCACTAACCTTAACCAGTTTTCTACTAATGTAGTTACAGAAACTACAAACGACTTAAAAAACCACGAACAAGAGACACTCAACAAATACACAAACTAAAAAACAAAGGAAACCTAATCACTTGCACTATTCCATAAAAATATTAACTATATATAACTAAAAATATTAACTATATCAGAAATTTCGGAAAGACTAGCACATAAATATAACTTTAACATAACACCTAGATTCGTTTTCACCCCTAGAATGAAAGTTAAACATATGTTAAGAAAATTGTATAACGAACTCACCCCACCAGGAAACATTTACAAAATATAGTGTAAAAGTTACCCAGCCCTTTACATAGGTGAAACAGGACATAACTTGTAGATCAGATTAAAAGAACACCAAAAAACTCCCTTCTCAAGTCCATGAGCATATAAATAAGAGCAAACACAGTTTTTCTGAACAGAATGTCACGGTATTAGAACATGAGCCTGATATTAACAGGAGAAAAATCAGAGAAGCTTTATTAATAAAATCAAACAATCCCACAATTGACAAAACTCCAGGTACATATATTTTGAATAACATGTTTTATAATTTTTATATTTATTCACTTTTGGTTGGTTTGTTTCTGTTTAGCCATACATAACTAATCTGTCCATTCACGAGGATTGATTTGTACATGCATAAGTAATCACTGTCAATTCTAGAATTTAAATACATTGTTAGATTGTTGAATGTTGATTTAAATATTAAAACGTTCTTTGCCGTTAAAACTTGTGTACTTAAGAATGATCGCACTAGTGATCAAAACGTCGTCCCTGTTCTAAAAACAAATCTTACTTACTCTAACAGCTGTAACTTGTAATTAGATAAAATATATTATGTAATTGGTACAGAGATTGTGTTATTATGTGTATTGTTAATTACTTAGTTTGTTGTGTGGAGCTATATAGATTTTTTCGTTATTGAATTGTTGTATAGATACTTTATTTGTTAATTAGAATGCTGTATAAAAAGCTTTTAGTCTCTGTAAGCTACTGAGACTTTAATAGCTTCATTTGGGGGGGGTACTGAGACTATAAAATTACATTGTTAGATAATCAGACTGGTATATTACCAACTAATGGGACTGTCTTATAGACACAAAATGAATGAATATCATAATAGAAGTCTTTCCGCTTCAGGTTTCTTTTAGTTGTGTAAACCAATATTTTTAAAAGTTTTATTAGTATAGCTTCTTATGAGGTGGTCATTATATTAAAACAGAATAATTAAATAATCGCCTACGTGGCTATGTTTGATGTTGTGCGAAATATTCTTGACTGTCTTAATTGTTTAAGAAGATTCTGTAAAACACTGCTTTGAACATGGTAAACCGTTTCGGACGAAACGACCTTATTTTTCCCCCTTTTGGTAATATCAGTATTTCATCTAAGCTATTCTATTTTAATGACCATTTTACTTTTGATATTTATTACTCAAAGTAAATGGTTTGTAATGATCATGCTTTTGGTATGATACTTTATCTAATCTTAACGTCATAAATGGACAGTTTTACGGTCTTTATGTGTTATGTATGTGATACACTTAAATGTTTTAGCCCTAACTCACTGCTTTAGTCGGCTGCTATGGTGAAACGTGAGCTCTCATCCCAGCTGCCCAACAAAATGTTGCCATAGCAACCAAGCTTGTGAACCAAGCACCCTCCCTTCCGTGTGAACGCTATCTTCTTTTGGCTAGCGAAGAACAGTTTAAACTTATTTCCCCCTAAAAAAAGTTTTTAAGATGTTTTTGGTGAGCCAATCATCAGTGAGGTACTTAAAACAACCTCCGTGATTGGTCACCCGGCCGAGACCAAGATTTCAGCATCTTACCATCCCACATGTAAGGATGAGATTATATAGCAACATGTTCCCATGAAAACGTCCTCATTTAATTTGTATCATTGTAATTAAACCCACACATTATTGGTTCAAAGTGTGAAATACCAATTTCTTCAGGTAAGTTAAGAAAATGCCTTACAGTCGTAATCATCGTTTCTTTTGAGAGTAATCTTTTTCTAGAAAACATTTTCTAATTTGATGTTTTGATCAAAAGTTCTAATCCTTATATTAAGTTGTAATAAGGTAAAATTCAAAGTATACTGTACTTATTGGCTCTTTGTGCACGTTTTATTTTTTTCATGAATAATTACCTGTATTTTCTATTTTATTTTCTTCTACCTGTTCACTCTAGTTTAAATCCTACCTTAAAAGAACGGTGTAAAGCCTTAATTGATACTAATACTACTAGTTTAATAAGTTTAACATTTATTCCAGAATAACCATTTTGGTATTTTACTCGTGTGGAATTTACTTGTGTTTTTCTATATTTAAATTATTACAAGAGTTTTTCTCACAGTGAATGATATATAATTTTTTTAAAAAGTTGACCTTTTATTTTTGATACGTTTTCAGCCACATTTTTTATTTTTTGTTTCAAAAAGAAAAGTTGTGCGTATACCCTGTTGACCTATAAAGATATTATAGTATTTGCTCGGTTGGCATATTCCATGTATTTAATTATGAACCAGCTAAAACATTTAATTGTTTTATTTTACTTTTATTGTATATTTGATTCTGTTATTTACCACTAAAATTTCAACTAGACCCATTGTCCCGATTTGCCGCTTTTTCGCAGTAAAGGAAAGCTTTGCGGAAAAGATAACAAAAATGGATAAACTGTCAACCGTAATAAAAAGGAACATATAGTTAAAACTACATAGGCGACAAAGATATTAAAATTAAATAATAGGTTGTTCAACCGATTATTTAATTATGTTAAACTTTATCCCAAGAAAACAAACAATGTTATGTGGTAAATTTAAAGCGTAATACTTTATGGAATTATATTTACCTTTTAATCAAAATACATAAAGTAAATATAAAGGTAACTACTTAACTACCTCACGAGGCTTTATAAATATTAAGTTTACTAGTTATATTTTATGTTCAGTTCAGAAGTTTGGGAAAACAACACTGAGTAAAAAGATGTCACGAAACATTCTTTTCAACTCAGATATAGATAGGTTTTATCACTTTGCTTTGCGTTTAAATACTTTTGAAGCCCCTAACGAAAACATTTTACTAATATTGTTTCACATAGTATTTAATCAGATGTGTTGTTTAGGCACTCAAACTATTATATATATATACAAGGTAAGCCCATAAATATTTATATGAATTTATTTATTCTAATATATATATATTTTTTATAGCTTGTATTATCATTCATCAGAGAGGTTATCTAGGCCTGGCTTATCTTTTACAGGTATATGAAAGTCGTTAGAGAGAAGGCTCCGACCCTGGCAGTATTGGGATATAATACCTATAATTAATGCAAAGTTTGTCATAATATATTTTTATTTTCTCTCTTATCCAGTTGTTGGACCTAATATATAAATGTAGTGGTGCTATTAATTTGATATTTTATGTAAGAATATCACGTGAATATTCGTGAATGCTGCTCTAAGACTTTTTGTCATCGTTATTTCTGTTACAGGTTCCACAGTTGACTATAGACCGTTCACATCAACTCAAGCTAGGACATCCCATCAGGTCGACAGTGAGGAAACAACACTGTCTTCTGTTCAGGTGCTACCCAAAATGCACTTAGACATTTTATCTTCCCCAGGAGTTGCCAGTGTAAGTTCTCCAGATAGTTTTACGCTAAGCACCAACCCAAGTCCTGGGTGTTCTGGTCTTTCTAGTGAACTGAGTCCATTTTCATTCGTAACATCTCATCTGTCGGGAGACTGTAACCAGAACCTAGACAGTTCTTCATATCTCAATTCGCCTTCTTGTCACCAATCGGTAGTAGATCCTCTCATTAGCTCCTTCGCTTCTGCATCGGAAGACATCCAGGAATTCTGTGACAATAGTACGGACAATTTTTTAAACTGTCAGAACCCTGTGTTGGATTCCCTTCTCTCTGCACCATCTTCCGAACCAATTTTTAGTAGTGTTGCTGAATCTGACTTACTCGCAACTACGACATATTCGGGAAGTATTCTTGGCTTTTCTGACTTTCAGTTTGGTTCTCAGGAGTCTTCTGTTGGCCAAAGCGATCTTTCTTCCATTCTTCTACAGCAACAAGAGCCGTTACTAACCGGTCCTGTGACTACTCCGTCTGACCCAAATTCTTCTGCACTTTCACCAGCTACGAGCAACACGACTTTCTCTTATCCACCTTGTACGTCAAGTCAAGAGGTCAAGGAAGAAACAACGTGGAGCAGATATCCGGTTTTGCCTCCAGTTGGGAACAATCAAACAAGCATTAGTGAGTTTGCACTACCCTATAGCAACGTCATGCCACCCAGCAGCGCTTTGTGTCATTATTCTGGAGCCCAGAGCTCTTTATCAGGGTATCATTCGAGCTGTGCAGAAATGTACCCATCCATGTCTAACTTTGTCAATCCTCACCATTCTGCAAGGTCATCATATTCGGGTCGGGGCTCACGTATGACTGGAAAAAGAGCTCTGTCAATATCTCCTTTGTCATCGGATGGTTTGGACCTAAATACTCTCATCAGGATATCTCCCACGTCTTTGACATTTCATTGGAATGGGTCTCGCAGTTCTTCGGCAAGTATGTCTCCTGCTTCTGGAGAAAGACAAGGCTGCTATGGGCACTTGTCTGCTAGAAACAGCAGTAGCAGTCCACATTCCGGTTCTGGATCATCTGTTCATCGGCCGAGTATCTCTTACACCCCTCAAACAACCACCAACGTGAGAGATGCTAAGAGCGATGGGTTGGACATTGACCAACACTTCTTGGTGTGCCAAGATATGCAAACTCTTGAGCAAGGAAACTACTCTTTATCCCAACAACTTGCTTTACAAAATCAAGTAGTTGTTCCACAGAATAACCTCCAGGTAGTAGAACAACAGGATGCCATGTTCAAAACCGAATTTGATGGTTCCTGCATGAATCCTTCCTCTGATCCAGTGCTCTCAAGGCTACAACCACCACCTCCACACTTACTTCTTACTTCAAATCGCCCTCCTCCCTCTTATGATCAGCACATGGCAAGAAAAATTGCTTTGCAAAAGAAGAGCTCTTCAGAAAACAGTCACCTATCGAATTATTCCAGTTTTGATGGCTCAGAAGGAGACCGATTTGGTGAAGGAAACGATAGCGATCAAGGACTAAAACAACACCACATCTGCAGATGGATCGATTGCAGCACTATCTTCCTGGAACAAGAGGATTTGGTGAAACATATTGAGAACTCCCACGTTGATCAAAGAAAGGGAGAAGACTTTACTTGCTTTTGGCAAGGTTGTCCACGTCGCTTTCGCCCCTTCAATGCTCGCTATAAATTACTAATTCACATGCGAGTTCACTCTGGAGAGAAACCAAACAAATGCAAGGTAAGTTAATGATAAAATAATATCTTAATAATTTATAGAAAAGAATACTCTGTGTTGAAAATCTGTGAAAATCCACCTAACGTTTTCCACTTTGGAAACGTTTTTATTGCTGTAAACATGGAATATATACATGTATATATAACATTAAAATAGATGTTTTGGAACGTATTGGCAATAAAAATGTTAAATGCTTAATGTGAGAAACTCAACGAAGATTCTTGGATTGGGGAGGGGTTAGGTTAGGTTAGGTTGTAAATTTGTAATGAAACATGCAAAAACAAAATAAAAATAGGAAATTTAAAGCAAAAATTGATAATAAGCCAGACAAAATTCTGTGATACGACGTGTAAGATATGTGGTATTCGTTGATTTATAAATGTATTATATTTTTTTTCTTATTTGTTGTTTTATGCTACATACAAAAAGTTTGTACTGTTGACCAGGAGGCTTTGCTGGATATTTTGTTGTAAGACGTATGACTTTAGATGTGAACCAGTTATAAAAATTTTATTCTGATCTGAAAGTAGCAAAAGTCATGTCCCCGGTAGATCAGTAATAAATTTACGAACTTTCAACGCCAAAATTTGGGGCTCGATCCCCCCGTGGTAGACACAGCGAATAATCCAAGTGGCTTTGGGCTAAAACAAACAAACAAGCAAAAAAGCATTTACAGAATCCTTGAGAATTCCCAGCATAATGACAGTAGTATGTTTACTGGGTTCTAATTATGTTCTTTCCGTAAAATTGTTATTTTTACTAGGAATAAAATGTATCTTCATGAAGGACAAAAAAAAATGCTCAAACTGTTACGATTGCAAATGTAACGAAATTACGTCCAATATGAATAAACTGTCTTATTTTTAAGAGCATGTATTTAAAAGTTTCAAAGCAGATTGATGCGCGCGTTACCAAGAACGCGACTTTCCTCTCAGTAGCTTCAACCTTAGACAGCAAGATAAAAACATTTTAAGAAACTGACGAGGTTCATATACTAACTTTGAACACGAAATCTTAAATGAACGCGGTCACTCAGAAAGGGCTGTCTGTTTCCCATGCTCCAGCTCGACGTGGTTAACATGTGGTGATAGTCACAAAAAAGTAGCAATACATGGAAGTCATCACATCTGCGTAGAGGTAAAAAACAAATAAATCCACTTGCTGAAGTTTGAGGTAGGAATATTATGCAGTTTCCTTGGTGACTAGATTATAACGTATTAAAATATACATATGCAAGTATTATTGTATATGACATTTTGTTGTATGCGACTGTCTATAGTATGGTTCACAGTGTGGTGATCTCATCCGCCGGAAGTTAAATAAAATAATCATGGGGCGAAGTCTAAGTAGTGCATGTAAGATTATGATTTATGTCAGAAGGAGAAAAAAGTCACGTTAAATAGCCACACGGTAATAGTGGACCAGCAGCTGCGGTGGGGGGGGGGGGGGGATTAGAGTGATACTTCATCTTGCTTCCCCCACGGTCAACTCACAGACGCTCAAGCTTTCATTTTGATAAATAATTTAATTAATTCTTGAAAATATCTAACTAATATCTACATTCACCAACGCTGGTGTAATCAATAATAAAAATATAAACACTACTTTCTAGAAGACATCGCCATATCATACGTAAAACATGTGTATTTTGAATTGTTCTTTCTTATAAAATCTTACAGAACAAGAGGTGTTTGATATAGTTATTGTTTGTTATTAAGCATAAAACTACATAAAGGGCTATCCGTGCTCTACCCACCACGGGTATCGAAACCAGGTTTCTAGCAGTATAAATCCACAGACATATCACTGTGTCATTGGGGAGCATTGGTATAGTTAGCACTGCTGACAAATACTGATGCTTTGTCAGGAAAAATATTCGTAGATATCATAATTGTATTACATATTCCATAATAAAATAAATAGAGGTGTATATATATATTTACCTTGAATAATGTTATTTTTACGTTGTATATTACGCTTTTTTTTACACCGTCTTTTTTATGAAATATCTTCATTCTTGAAATTTATACGAAAGTTTAACTAGCGATTTACAGTCATGGAAAATAATGACAGTTAATATTTTTAGTAATAATAAGTTGTAAAACATTTAGGAAGTATTTCACTGTTCAGCATGATTTACTCATAATGTTTCAATGGATAAATGTCTGTGTAATTTTTATTTCATCCTGACACAAGAAAGTCAGTATTCGATTACAAGATCGTCCTGAAAGAGGTTGTCTTCTAAAACTGATAACGTTTGACTCGACATAGACAGATAACTTACTGAATACGCAAGTATCGAAATGATGTCTGTATTTCCAAAGAAACTTATTGTATCTGAAAGGCATGTATGTAAATAATAATACGAAAGCGGGAATGTAATGCTCTTTACCTCGTCAGGTCATCTGATCTTGCAGAACAAAAATATATTTTCATAAGCAATAGATGTTTGCCTATAACTACCATTCATAAGTCCCGTGAACCGACGCCTTGTCGAGACAGTGAACTAACCTCACGTGAATCTAGAATTGGAGACGCTCTCGCGCTACATTCTCCTCGACACGCTTTGAACTTACGTTATGACGCGCGGCGTCTAGTAATTTTTATATTAACCGTGCTTAACTTAAAGAAACACTTTCATCCCAGATCAGCTAGGCTTTTTTGTTTATTTGAAAGCGAGCGCCATTAGCCTTGGTTGTTTTTGACGTCAGCAGGTTACATGTATTATCCAGTGATTAATTGCATGTCACCTGTCTCCCAGTTGTTCTGCAGCATGAATAAGTGACAGCGTTAATATTAAGTAAGAATTGAATATAATTTTTTTGTTATTTGAATTTGTATCTATTATTTTAAAGCGTGCTTTACTAACATAAAGACACAGTAAATTATTAAATTGTACTACGTGATAAAAATTAGTATACCCTAGATGGTTGAGAGGTGTGTTTGAGATGGTATTATAATATATACAGTAAAATTCAAAAATGTAAAACATGCTCACATATCCAAGTATAGGATATGTTTAGAGTATGAACACATACAACAAGAGTATGAACACATACAACAAGAGTATGAACACATACAACAAGAGTATGAACACATACAACAAGAGTATGCACACATACAACAAGAGTATGAACACATACAACAAGAGTATGCACACATACAACAAGAGTATGAACACATACAACAAGAGTATGCACACATACAACAAGAGTGTGTACACATATGATAAACATTTTCGCACATCTAGAATAGGGTATTCTCCCAAATGTGAGTCCAAACACATGGTAGTGTGATACTTTCAAGTATGACTGATCTCACTCGGAGCGACAACAGGGCCACTAATAATGAGATATTCGAGAAGATAGTTACTTCGAAATAATTATGTGTCTTCTGACTACTGAAGTCATGAAAATTAAAGAAGACTGAGCACAAATGTACAATTAATAAATAATATTTATTACACACAGTGGAAATGTATACTTAGCTTGTCACACGGACAGTTGCTTTACTGGAAAACTAGCACTAACTCTCAATTTCCAAACTGTATCTCTCAGGATCGTATCCCAGACCATATCTCCAGAGTTCTTGTTCCAGACGGAACATATCTCACGTCAGCTACTAAAAACGTTGACGTAAAACTTACCCATGGCAACTAACACTACTCACGTGACTGGTCAATGAAATACTAGAGAGGTCGTTTCCTCTAGAAGCCTCCTGACTGCCAGTGGCAAAAAATGCCTGACTAACTTCACATACCACAGGTGACCTTACAACTATCTTTCCCACGAGAGGATAAAAGGTGATACTCTGTGGGGTGAATGATGCCGTACAATGGGTAGCTAAAGTTAAAGTTATGTTCTTGACTAACACGACGTGTGTATATTAATACATGGAAGTAGACAGCACATAGTATGTTTATAAACGTCCGTAGTTTGTTCATACATCCACAGATCACAATGTTTGTTTTGTATTTCGAATATTCGTGCAAAGCTATACGATAGCTACCTACGATATCGTCCCTAGAGAAGGTGTTAGTCAACAACACCATTCACCAGCTCTTAGGCTACTCTAATCGAATACTAGTGGGGTTTGACAGTCACTCCTGTAGTGCACCGACAACTCAACAGAATTGTGCGCGATTTGTTTTTACGGCAACACGCTAACCACTAGTCCATGCCTAAATGGACTAAATGCTTGTATCTTGTTTGTGATATTTGCACTAGAAACATTAATATAAATATACAGTACAAGACTGGCACTACAGCTGAAAAGCATTTCAGTTATGATATAATGCTGTTATATAATATATCAGATCTTGGAGCAGAAGCCCTTGTGATTTATACCGTAAGCTTAATACGAAGTTTTGATGGGCAGAGCATCCAGAGGCTACAAAATTATTAATAAAACAACAGATTAAAAGCACTTAGAACCACTGGTTAGAAACAGGATAGGAACTTCAGAACTGCTAACAAAATAAGAGAATAAGTACCTAGGAACTTCTTTCAAACTCCTCCGGTACTCAGCGGTTAATCTGAAGACTTATAATGCTAAAAATCGGGATTCGATACTCGCGAAGGGCAGAGCACAGATGGCCCATTATGTAGTTTTGTGCTTGACAACAAAACAAACCAAATCAGTATCAGATAAAAAAAAGCTAGGAACTTCAGTGTCATCAGTTAGACAATGGATTAAAAGCTTAAGAACCATTAGACATATCACACATTAAGAACTTTATGGTTAATTTTAAGCTCCTGTTGTGTTATCTGGCCAATAGTTCAATGGTTCTCAAGCTCTAACTGTGTTTACTGAGGTCAAATAAAACAAGATTCAGAACTATTTATTTTAAGCTACAACTGACACAACTTTAAAACGTTTCGTATCGCAATCTTTACATAAAATGCAACCAAATAAAAAAATTACACGTGCTTTTGCTCTGATTTTATCTATGGTAGGGACACCCAAAAGTAAGGGAACGGGAATTGTCGACGCGGCAGCATCCCCTGGCTCGGATTTCAGGGGTGTTGCGCTCCTGCTGGTTTTATTAACATGTTTTAACACAATAATAACAACCGAATACACAGCTTCCATCATATAGTGTGTTTATAGCTTCGTTAAACAGCTTTCAGCGCCAACTATAAAAAGTGTTCCAACACCGCTGCCCAAAAGACGATTATGAAATTAAACTACGTAAATGATTACTTTTTTTTTGATTATATAGTGGAATGCATATCTACACTTTGAAGGGTGAAGGCAATACATAGATGTACGTACTGTCATGTACTGCTTCATTTCACGGGTTTACAGATAGTGCACATCTCACAATACCACTTGTAGATCTGTGTCATTATAACTTGGTGATGGAGTGTGTTTGTTATGCTTGACGGAGGGTACATTGACATTAAGAAAGAAGCGGAGATTCACCGGATGTGTAACAGATTTATTTTCACAACACTTGCAAAAACTTGTCTTATGAATATGCACATATGGTGGGTGTCGCAAGGCATTTCGGGAGTGGAATGCCAAACAAGTGCTTGCTGCCTACTTTACATACCAGGCGGATGATCTTTTTATTTGCTTTTTTTTTTTCCACTGGTTACTTACTACCCTGCTTTTATTTTTTATTCTCTTGTTTTTTCACTTGCGTGTGTGGTACGAAGAGTTACCCTAACAGCCATTCCAAAGATTTCACGATTGTTATTTTAATGACTGTTTTAGTCAATTTCATCTTCGAGGATTTATTTTCACCCATCATGTTCTTATGTTGTTTTGGAACACCTGATGTGGCACCACATGTTATTAGCCAGTGTCTGAATAATACCCATGTGCACAACTTTTTTACGGATAGACAGACATTATTTGTTTTGTTGTTTTTTGTTTTTGTTGTTGTTGTTGTTGTTTTTGTCTGTGAACTTTATTTTTGAACTATGTTGTGAATTTTAGTTGGTTATTTCTAAACATACTTGGGCTTATATCACATTAAACTTATTCCAATGAATAAATAAAGAAGCTTTACTTGTCAAAGAAAGTATTTGACATTCATAATACAAAACGAATGTCTAAAGTAAACATTTGACATTTTAAACTTTAGTGTCAGTTAATAGTTCTGTTTTTATTTTCTATTTCACAAATCATATACCTATATATATAGATAAAGAAACCAGAGTATTCTATACCATAAAAATTCTAAAACTTATTAACATATTATTTTCGTTCTTCGCCAATTTCTTATCGATAGAAGTTCTTCAGAGTAAACCCTTGAGGCAATAAGCCTGATCAACACATACATATAGAGAAAACCTGTATTTTCTATATGTAAATAAAATTTTCCAAACCTAATCTTTAACTACGATGTCCGGAGTGAATACAAGAATATAAAGAACACTACTCGAGCTTTCAAAGACCCATCTTTGCAAGATCCGAAGTGCACGTAGACATTCGAAGTTTTAGAAAGTCTGAGGTTCTAGTCTTTACATTTTATTATAAATGCAAGTTCTAAATCTTTCAAAGAAAACTTTTTATATTACCTTCTCATCGTTTTCACTTTTACTGCCCAATAGGGGCAGCATGTTTAACATAGAGATGAGATCAAACTTGTACATACGTGTTTCAAAGGTTTTTATACCCTACTTTACGGGACTATAAGTGTCAATGTGAAGCGAATTTGTTTTTGTTTTTCTTCTGAAGATATTTATTGAAACTTGATTCAAAATTTAGATTTTAAGCATGTTAAACCTCCACATAGTTGGATATGTTTGTTTGTAGATTGCCAACGCAAGAAGTTGTATTAACTGGTGTTTATTCACCTGCACAAAAGCAAGCTCAAGTATAGCGATGCTTGAATTCATACTCCCGGCTTATTGCTATAAATTATGTACACTAACAACGAGATACTTTTGTTAGAGATACTTGGGTAGTGTCGGCAGCTTAACATAATTAATATAAACAATGCACGACTTATGTTATATGGATATTTGGGTAGTGTCAGCAACTTAATCAATATAAACAATGCACGACTTATGTTATATGGATATTTGGGTAGTGTCAGCAACTTAACACAATTAATATAAACAATGCACGACTTATGTTATATGGATATTTGGGTAGTGTCAGCAACTTAACACAATTAATATAAACAATGCACGACTTATGTTATATGGATATTTGGGTAGTGTCAGCAACTTAACACAATTAATATAAATAATGTATGACTTATGTTATATGGATATATGGGTAGTGTCAGCTACTTAACTCAATCAATATAAACAATGTTCGACTTACCTTAGTGATACATGAATAGTGTCAGCTAGTGATCTTAACTTAATCTATGTAAGCTACGTAAGACTTATGTTAGTGATACATGGATAGTATCAACTAGGGATTTTAACTTAATTTACATAAGCAATGTAAGCCTTATGTATGTACAATCTTCAACTCGTAGCTAAACTCAGTTTGTACGTTAAAAATGTAAGATTAATGTCCAGTGATACTACAGAGTTAGTTTCAAGACCTAAACTAGTTTATTAGTGAACAATGTGAAATTAGAGTAACTGATTACGATTATTTGAACATTTCAACTACGTCTAAACTAGTAACATAATAATCACGTTGTTGCTAACTGAGAGACTTTATACGTTACAATTAATTGTGTAATTATATATATGTTAATTTATTGTTCTTTATTCTAGTTTGAAGGGTGTAACAAGTCTTTCTCTCGTCTGGAGAATCTGAAGATTCACCTTCGATCCCATACAGGAGAGCGACCATACGTGTGTCAGTACGAAGGTTGTTCTAAAGCATTCAGTAATTCGTCTGACAGAGCCAAGCATCAACGAACTCATCAAGACACTGTACGTACTCCACACAGAGAATATGTGTGTGTATGTCTATCTATATAAAGAAATTAAAATTGCTTAAAACAGTTACAAAGCAAAAAATGATGACATTAGCAACTTTTATTAACTACCTTAAGTAATGCATAATTTTAGAGTAAAGATAACAACTACTGCCAATGTATTGTTGCATTATGGGATTGACACAGAACATCGATTTTAAACCACCTTTCTGAAATGTTTTATACTTTTTTGTCATTTTCCAATAACGATATTTCGATTATTAGTACTAACACTATTTTAATCACCCTACAGTAATATAAAATGAAATTTTGAAAGAATTTACCCTTGAAATTACAAGTTTCATTTATTTATTACTATTATGATAACTGTAACTAAGTTTTTCATCTTTTGATGGGATACAACACATTTCACATTCAATAATTTCCTTCTTTAGAAACCTTAAAATTTTTTCATAAAATATCATATATTACCTTTTCATTTTATACATAAACACATATACAATGTTATCCAGTCTGATATTATAACTCAGTTACTGATTTATCTTATTAAATCTTACAGTCGATAACACTGAGGGTTATTCACAACTATGGTAGTAATTTGTATATCCAGTTACTCTAGCCGCTCCAACACAACTTTCTCCTATTCCAATATTACAACACCATGCAAGCACAACATTTTATCGTTTCGAAGAAACGGATGTCTGTAGTGTTGAACCGTATCGAAAAACAAAGTAAATCATGAAAACAGACTACTCCATAACCACGTGCTGGAAGTAGTAAAGAAGGTACATTCTTATCGCCGGAAGTAACACAATAATACAGCGTTTCATCGCAGCTAAAGTAGGAACCTCTCTTGAAGCTGTAAACAAGACCATTCACGCGTACTCGGTCTACAACAACAACATGAGAGCCTTGTTCACAAGCTTCTCCCAAAGTATATTGCCGAACGGAATATCAACTTACGAGTGGTATATGGCACATGACAAATGGAAGTATGTCGTCAGATTGGGTAAATCATATTCCTACTTAATTATCTTCAAAAGGCCAGATAATGTGTTATCGCCCTACCGGTAATACAGATTTTAAAAATGGCTCAGTGCACTGTCACGAATTTTCGTTCTTCCCAAGAGATTTATGGTAGTTGAAGGTTACAGCTATAATGGTAAGTTAAACATCCAGAGAGTCGAGACAAGTGTCCAAGATGAATTCTGCATACTGCCAAGCTAAAGTGACCACACCACTATACAATAAGGAAATACCATATCTGTACACACTGGATACCAGTAAGCTATGCATCCCTCAAGACAAGGAGTCCAACCACTCGTCCAAGTCAATATGTCAGTTCCTCCGTATGTACAAATGGGAATTCATGCTATAGCATTTGTAGTCAATTGTTTTGGCAGACTATACATTATGATTGCTCAAACGTACCCTCGAAAGTCGTCTTCCGCGCGTGGTTGATAGACTTGGGAAAGCAAATAAAGAGTGAGAAAACAGTGACCTCGGTGTATTGGATAAAGAAAAACCTCCTACAATTAAACTTGTGCTGCAGAGCAATAGTTAATAACCAGAGTCAATACAACGAATATCATTAGTGTTGAAAGAGGATGGTGTAAGATCTAGATATTCATCTATGTATCGTTACCACAGATCGTGGACACCCATCTGTAGATTAAAACAAACAAACAAAAACATTATAATATCTTATATTTTTTTCACAGTTTCTTGTTTAGAGAGAGAGATAAAAAAAAAACGTTTTAAATTCTGGGTAATGTTACAGAAACCTTACGCATGCCAGATACCCGGATGTACTAAGAGGTATACAGACCCAAGTTCACTACGAAAACACCAGAAAAATCATCAACCCAAAAGTGATCCCGTTAGGAAAAAGGTAAGTGTTATTACAAGTGAAGTAGAAGTTAAATTAATGCCGGAGGTAAGCTTCTTATTTTTGTCATTAATTTAACTTCTACTTCACTTGTGAACGGAGGTTAGCTTCTTATTTTTATCACAAGTGAAGTAGAAGTTAAATTAATGCCGGAGGTTAACTTTTTATTTTTATCACAAGTGAAGTAGAAGTTAAATTAATGCCGGAGGTTAGCTTCTTATTTTTAAAACGATACATTTTTGTATTTAATTATGAAAACCAACAGATCGTGAGAAATTCTGAGTTACAAAATGTCTTTAAGTACAATTTTTATTTTCATATTTCAGTTTAACTCACTATAGAAGCAAACTAATGTTCTTAATTTATAATTATTGTTCTTTTACATGTATCGTATTCATAATTTTCATACAAGAAAAAAAGCATTATTTTTTAATCACTGTTTTTAAAATGGAGAAATGGAAATTTTACAAAAATAAAAGGCTTATGATTTTTTCAAAATGTGTTGGAAGTCGAATATTTTAATATTTTATGCTTAAAGGAAAAAGCCGACTGTAAATGAGCTAGTTTAATAAAGTTTTAATCTTCGATTTGTTTTCATATCGTTCACTAACCTTGGGAGTCCAACTGTTTTCATATCGTTCACTACCCTTGAAAGTCCGCATATTACATGATATTGAATAATTTTACGTTTTTCCCTGTTAGAACACTCTGTGTAAAAGAAAAAACATTGTGCCAAAATAACTCTTATATTTATTTATGATTGATACTGATTTCGCACAAAACTACACAATGGGCTATTTGCATTGTGCCCACCGTGGAGAATCGAACCATGGATTTTAACGTCTTAAGTCTATAAGTTTACCGCAGACCCACTGAGGACTATTGAGCTGTGATAATTCATGCCAATTCCAGATTAAACTAAAAATTATCCCAGTTTCTTTACCAATATATTGTTAACCAATATATTCTTTTTGGAAGTTTATATATATTCGCTTTCCTATGTACCTCTCTTTCGTTACATGTATGTTTCAAGAAGTAATTACTAAATATTTGTCTCTGTTTGTAACATTTCTTACGCGGAATGCTAGAAAAGACCTGTGGTTACATTTTCGCCAGACAACCTGAACCAACTCAACTCTTCAGCGGGTTAGTTAACTTAGTAAACCAAGTTATACCGAGGTTGATGAACTTGATTTTCCTGGCGTCAGGGTTGAGTATCCGTACACGAGGGCTAACAACTTGTAGCCTTAGAGCACTTCGGTGTTAATAAATTAACATAACTTCTAAGTGTCAATTCGTTAAATTTCCATCAGTGTATGAATACGATATTAAGATATTGAATTTGATATTGAGTGAATAATTTTCTCCTTTTTTTTCTTTTTTGTTTAGTTAAGGGGTGTCCCTGGGGAAGCAGATCCCCAAATCCTTCGGGAATGCCTAACGATTCAACCAATCAAAATAAGTCAGTGTGAAGGATCTCCACCCTTACACGAGCACAATGACAGTGGGCTAGGACGGTCTCCCCGAAATTCCTTTCAAGGTGTATCTAGCGACCCCTATCCAGGTAGGAAAATGTTCAGCTCTTATAAATAGATGTTATTCACAAGACTGTGGTGGATGTTATCAAAATATTGTAATTATCATTTAGATAATACAGTAGTGGTTATCTAAATGATTCGTTGTAAGCTGAGAATGTATTAACTAAAACCCGGTGGGCTGTACTTCACAATGCTGCATAGTGATTCTTCAAACAAATCAATGTTACTCGGAGTTTACACTAAAAATAAACATGTAAATAAAATAAATGATTTGCTGTTACCCGGCCATGTTTCTCAAGTTGAGAGCCATTGTTACTCCAAGATATAGTTGAAAACAGGATGATGCTACTACCCTAGTTGAGAAGTTTAACAGAATACGCTGTTACCCAAAAATATCCTTGAAACGTCTAACAGGATGATGATATTACCCCAATATATATTGTAAACGTCTAACAGGATAATGATGTTACCCTAAGATATATTTGAAAAAGCTCTAACGGGGTAATGATGTTACTTCAAGATCTCCTTGAAAATATTTAACAGGATAACAATGTTACCCCAAGGTATTCTTGAAAATATTTAACAGGATAACAATGTTACCCCAAGGTATTCTTGAAAATATTTAACAGGATAACAATGTTACCCCAAGGCATTCTTGAAAATATTTAACAGGATAACGATGTTACCCCAAGGTATCCTTGAAAACATTTAATAGGATAACGATGTTACCCCAAGGTGTCCTTGAAAATATTTAACAGGATAATGATGTTACCCTGGAATATGTCGAAATCATTAAAGTATTTCTACCCTAAAATTTAAAAATAAGTCTTACAATAATTATTCGGATGAATCGCTTTAATGTTGTAATTTAGCTGGAAACGGTTAATAGGGTAATGCAATTACCTCGAGATATCATAATATCATTACGATACTGTTACCCTACGACTTAAAAATGGTTAATAATAATTCTCCAGATGAAATGTTTTAACCTTTAACTATCGCTGATAGTTATTTCTCCATATATTGAGTTATTCTCCAGGTGCATCTTTATTGCAGTTAAATACAACTACAGAGATGAACAATAATTTTTCAGAAAGTCTTACCGGGGCATAAGTTTGTAAATGGTTACTTTTTTTTTTGGGGGGGGGGGTTATTTCAGAAGAATCGATGTTATTGTGGGGAGCTTGAAAATAGTTACTTTTTTTGGGGGGTGTTTATTTCAAAAGAATCTATGTTATTGTGAGGAGCATGAAAATAGTTACTTTTTGGGGGGGTGTTTATTTCAAAAGAATTTATGATATTGTGAGGAGCTTGAAAATAGTTACTTTGGGGGGGGGGGGTATTTCAAAAGAATAGGTGTTATTGTGGGGTATATATATTAAAATAGTTAATAGTGATTCTTCTGGTAAGCCAATTAAGATATATACTTCAAATCAATTATAGGTAATTCTCCACTTGAATTACTAGTGAACCAGATAAACTTTAAAATATGAACAGTGATTCTGCCGGTGACTGGATACTATATTAATAATTGTTATTACCCCCGGATAAATAAAAAAGATAAGCATTGATTCTGTAGTTGAATCGTTGTTATCGTATGATACACTTAATACCAGGGTAGCAATAATTCTCCAAATATATCAAATATAAATAACAAAGATTCACCAAGTGAACTACTTTATCTCTCGGAGGAAAGTTTAAAGAGCGAACAGTGACTCTCCTGTTTTTATCCTGGATTACACTGAAAGCTATAAACAGTGAATTTCCCTTGTTGCATGAAATATGTTTGGAAACGATTAACAACGTTATTCGTAATGAATCGCTGTATTTATGCGCTATATTAGAAAAATGTTAAAGGCGATATTCCCGATGAATCACTGTTTTCATGTAACATAAAAGATAATTGTTAACAACGTTACCCGTAATGAAACACTGTTCCACGTAATATGCTAGAAAACATTATTCGCAATGTCTTTCCAAGAAAATCATTGCCACATCGGAATATTCTTGAAACATTTTACAGTGGTTATGTAAATATTTTGTTTCTTCAGGATATATATATATGTTGGCAGAACACTAGTCTTAATACAAGACTGGAACTTAAATTTACTCGTTTACATTTCAAGTTTGCTGGAGATTAAAGTGTTAAGCTAGTTAAAACTGTCAGAAAAATATCCACCTTCAGAATTTCATTGTTTCGCATATCATAATGATGTACTACCGTAAAGTTAAATTATACGTGCGTTTAATGTAAGTTGGCGACGTAAGTTGTAAATGTCACCAATATAAATGTTTCTTAATGTATCAAGGAGATGGAAAAACAGTCTTAACATGTGGTACACTTCTAATACTTGTTGAATTGTATATATACAAAATAATCATTTCTAATAAAAGTTACATGCGAAATATAATTAGTGTCGGTATTATTGTGGACACTGCCACCTGTAAAAATTTATAGATGACATTTCGATAAAGTAACATTGAGCTAACTAAAAGAATTGCTAATTATCTGTAACACATAATATCTATTTAGTGATACAAGAGTTATTGTTATTTTTAAATATCCTTTATGCTAATTAAAACCACCTGTAAAAATTTATAGATGACATTTCGATAAAGTAACATTGAGCTAACTAAAACAATTGTTAATTATCTGTAACACATAATATCTATTTCGTGATACAAGAGTTATTGTTATTTTTAAATATCCTTTATGCTAATTAAAACCACCTGTAAAAATTTATAGATGACATTTCGATAAAGTA